GATGTGTTGTAGGTATTACAGTCCTATGCCTTTGACATCTGACATCAACCTGAAGTTTTGCATACCAACACAGACTTCTCTGAACCAGAAGGTAGGGGCCTAGATTTAGAAAAGTGGGTCTTGGACTCTGCTTTTGGGAGGGAGATATGTAACTGGGTAGGCAGCAGCTAATCATAGGGAAATCAGCGAGTGGGAAAGCTTGTCTATCTTAATCAAATTTATTCTTAATTTGCATTTACATTTCTTAGTTGTTTTCTTAAATACGGTTTCATTCTTCTCTGGTTCTGTTTAAAAAAAAAAGTTTATTTGATTTAGTTCATTGTATGCTAAATATGTTACTTTTTGCTAACGAGCTATACTTTTTCTATGCACAGGTTTTTAAGAATGATATATTTCAGCATACATTTATTCACATTCTTAATTTTTAATCTTTTTATTATAGTATTTTGAATGACAGTTTGCTGATTGCTAAATAACTTTCACTTTTGATAAGTGTCAAGCTGCATTTTAAAATTGTTCTCAATAGTTAAATCAGCATTTAGAATTGGTAACACAAATAAGCATTTTTTTTTTTTGCAAGTGTATCAAAAGAGCCACAAGAATGAGCTTCTGTATGCTTTTGGCCACCCAATAATAACAATTTCTCACAAGACTTTTTCACGCTGTAAACTTTAGTTTGGATGCACAGTTTGCTGCAGCTACCTCTCTCTCAAGACTGGATTACTTTAAGAGTCTCTGTTAAGATCAAACTTGGAAGACTTTCAGATGGTCGCAGGGAATCTGTTACATCTTTGCTCCATGATTGGCACTAGTTCCTGTTTGTTACTCAGTGAAATTAAAAAAGCTGGTTTGGGTTACCTAAGCTTCCTTTCTCCGTGTTTGGGCAGGACTTGAAAGCAGTGAAAGTGTTTGAGCTCCCCTGGCTACATAGGGACTGGCCTGATGACAGAGCCTTCCATTCTGGAACTCTTTCATTGTCACCCCTTAGTCTCAAAAAGCCTGGATCTGTTGTCTGTTGCAGCTTGCTGCAAGGTTTTGTTTCTTTCATATATTTGAGAGAGGATTCTCATGGGAAGGGTTTAAGTGAGCATACAGTCAAATAGCCATCCTGAGCCTAGCTGCCCACCGAGCTAGCATAATTAAGGCATTCCAGTGTTGGTAGCCAACAGCACAAAGGAAAGGGTGTCTACCTTTGGCCATCACATCTGGCCATCTTTGACTCAGCCTGAACTATTTACAGCTAGTTTGGCTGGGGGCAGCTTTTATAATAAGTCTAGAGCCAGGCTGGAGCTCGCACCTCTGAATCCATAGTGGGATGTCTTAACCATTCTTTCACTGCACCCCTGTTAATCTGGTAAATTTTTGGAGCAGTATTTACTAAGAGGTAGCAGTGTTTTTAGGGTATCTGAGATCTGCCTTTTTTGCCTTGTGTAATTACTTTGTAAAGTTATTACCCAACTTTCTTTTTAAATAAGCATTTTATGCTCAATTTGTCTTGATCTTTTTTTTTTTTCTTTCAATTGTGCTTCTCTAAATTGTGGGTTTCCACAAATAATACATTTTTCACAGAAGCTGTTTCTTATGGACATTTCAGGAGATTCTTCAAGGGGCAGCAGATGAATTCTGTACCAAGATGGATAGTGCTGTGGAGGACATGGATACAACTGATACCCAGTGGGGTTGGTTTTATTTGGCTGAATGTGGTAAATGGCATATGTTTCAGGTAACTATACGTGGGGATATTGGCTATGATAACTTCCACACGATCAAACTGGCTATACGTAAACATTTAAACTTGTGCTTTCTGGTTTGTTTTGAAGACTGACTCAAACACTCAATGTTCAGTTAGCAGTGAAGACATTGAAAGGAGCTTCAGAATGAACCCACATGGCTCTCTTTGTTTTACTACTGCAAAATTTAACTACAGGTTAGACTTTTCAGGTATGTCTTTTCTAAAAATAAGGTAACTGTAAGTGTCCCATGACAAGAATTAACCAGAATTCAACAAGTTCATGTTTGGTAGTGCAGAGGAGTCAGGCTTGAGAAGGCCTTTCTTACATGAACATACGTGTGAAGCTTTAGGGAGACAGTTGTATGGTTCAGTTTTCTAGCCAAATGAATGTATGTAGTATTCTGTGTTCAGAAGCCTCTAGTGTTTGTCCTGACCCTTTCATTGTATAAGAGATGCTTTATCATACAGTCACTGAAAAGGGCACACAGCTTGTTTTCTTTTAAATATCCCCCCAAACTGTGTTGCAAAAAGATTTGTGCCAATTTCAGAAACTGGTTGAATAGTATTAATACATAATGGAAGCTTTTTGTGAAATATTGATCTAATTCAAGTAGCAGGCAATGCAACAATCAAACTCTGCTTTAAGAATCAGTGTTTTACCAGATACAATTTACTGGAAAAATATTTTAGGTCAAAATCTCATTTATATTGTGCATACCCTTTATTATAGGTTACCACTAGTTTTCACTATAGTTACCACAACATTTTAAATTGTAAATGCATTTGACCTTTTTGACAATTGCACTGTAATAACTTCTCTTTGAGTATTGCCAACCATTGCACCTATGGTTTTATGTAGTATTTCATGTTAAATTCTGGAAAGTCCTGCCATTAGGCTCAGGGGAAGGGATGTTCTATACCTGTGGTTCTCTTAGACTCAAGTCACTCCTTGGAAACTGCCAGCTCTTAGACTTCACTGGTTTTTTACTTTGTAAAAATAAAACAATTCTTCTGTTGCAAAGAACTGAGAAAAATCATAATAGGTCAGAATGTTTTTAACACTTATTCCTATTTCCTGTTTA